AAACTTCAACCCCTGATATTTATTTTCAACCTTAGTTTTGTAATTTTGTCCGACATACTCTATGCGCGGATTTTTTTAATGTTTCTTTCTTTGGAAGCTACGCCCCTGGCTTTTAGTGAATAATGAACTTTATAACGGATTACCTCCCTTTAACCACTATGACCTCTTTAAATGACAAAAGGTTTACTAATGGAAGGGAAGCAACTCTTGTGAAGACTATTTTCAACATGGTGAGGTTTTTGGTGAGTGTGTGTGGTGAGGGGATTGTTGTTTTTAAATGAAAGAATTTTGATCACTTAAAAACAACAGATTTACAACTGTATTACTTTTTGTTTTTTCCCACTTAGTACATTTTTATGTTGAACCGTATTTGTAATGAATACCTGACCACAGTGATAGCTACTTAAAATGTTTTCACAGTGACCATGGCTAAACAGATCTCACACATACAATTATTTCAGGCCCAACTTGTATAAAACATATCAACTTGAGATTTCCTCAAGTCGAGATTTTCCTCAGCTAATATCTCCTTGAAAATATCTTGTATGAAAATTCCTCAAGGAATTTCAGGACATCCTAGCTGATGACTTCCTCCTGTTCCTTGAGAAAATTTTATACAAGCCGTTTTTGAGGAGATATCGGCTGAGGAAAATCTCGACTTGAGGAAATCACAAGTTGATATGTTTTATACAAGGTCACCTGTCTGACTACATGGTATTCTTAAGGAACTGCAATCCTCTCATATTAACACCGTTTTGCATACCCCTGTCTGTTATCTGACGTACTTAATTCAGATCCCATATGCTACACAGTTCATTCTATTTTACTTTTTTTACAAACTTGTATGAGCCAACAACTTTGAGATCAACCATTGAATATAAAGAAATCGAGAAATTGGCTTCCATTAGAATGACCAGTTCCAACACTTGTGGAAAACGAAAAAGTGCCTCCATATTGGTTGTTGTCATGTTGAGGGGGGAAACTGACAACAGACAAAATGTTAGATAATATTGTTGAGTGTTTTTTTTATCCTAGGGAGTGCACGATATATCATATGAAAATAGTTGGAGGGAAGTTTGAAATGGAAGAAGAGAACTGATAGGAGACTGGAAAGTTATGCAAGGACGGAAATCAGCATATGACCAGGAAAAGATGTGAAAGAGAACTGCCTTGGTCTAGAGAATTTGTATTTAGTCAACATGGGCTTAGAGGATTGATGTAAGTTGAAAAAATGTTTAATTTTTGTACAATAAGATCTTATGTAAGTGACCACCTGTTATTTTGATATAGTGTTAAATGTTACTGTCGTGTGGAAATCCCGTAATTAACCTTTAAAGTTAAAAGAAGTTAACATATTGGTTCATTTCCCCATGTTCACAATACCATGCTACACCAGTACCCATTATGGTATATGATAGGGGAATTACAACCTGTGGGGAATGATTCTAAAGTTGGCAATCACAAGTCTAGCCATGTGATTGTCAGATGTAATCTTTCCCGAAGAAAGAAAACCCCAACCTTCCCCATAAAATGATTCAAATACAGGTAATACATAAACTTGTATACTCTATTTAATGACAATCAATCCATGTGTTCCCTGTCTATCCTGACTACCTGTATATAATGTCCATTAATACGAACATGTCAGTACTGACAACCAATCATGTGGACCTCCGGTCAATAGTGACAATTATCAATGTAAACTTCCTGTCAATACTGAAAACCAATCATGTGAACTCTGTCAATACTGACAACTATCAATGTAAACTTCCTGTCACTACTGACAACTATCAATATAAACTTCCTGTCAATACTGACAACTATCAATGTAAACTTCCTGTCAATACTGACAACTATCAATATAAACTTCCTGTCAATACTGACGACTATCAATGTAAACTTCCTGTCAGTACTGACAACTATCAATGTAAACTTCCTGTCAATACTGACAACTATCAATGTAAACTTCCTGTCAATACTGACAACCAATCATGTGAACTCTGTCAATACTGACAACCAATCATGTAAACTTCCTGTCAATACTGACAACTATCAATATAAACTTCCTGTCAATACTGACAACCAATCATGTAAACTTCCTGTCAATACTGACAACTATCAATGTAAACTTCCTGTCAATACTGACAACTATCAATGTAAACTTCCTGTCAATACTGACAACTATTAATGTGAACTCTGTCAGTACTGACAACCAATCATGTGAACTCTGTCAATACTGACAACTATCAATGTGAACTCTGTCAATACTGACAACTATCAATGTAAACTTCCTGTCAATACTGACAACTATCAATGTTAACTGCATGTCAGTACTGACAAATGTCCATGTGGATTTTATGTCAATACTGAACTTGTCCTTGTTGATTCATTATCAACACTTTCAACAAACAATGTGGATTTACTGCAGATTTTTTTTAACTTTTAGGTCATATTATCTAGTCCATGTAAAATAATCATCAATTTTGGACACTTGTCTGTAAGTGTGTTGGGTCTGTAAATGATAACCACTATTCCTTGTAGACTTCCTGTTGATAGTGGGTCTAGCCATCTGTCTGTAATCTCCCAGTCTGAAGGAGACCTGGTCATCTGTCTTTAGTTTCCCCCTCTATAGTGGACCTGGACGTCAATCTAAATCTCCCAGTCTATATTGGATGTGGTCATCTGTCTGTTATATTTGTCTGAAGTCTGCATGTCTATAGTGACAAATTATTCATTAAGACTTCTTGTCTGTGATTACTACCTGTTTACAAAGACTTCTTGTCGGCATTAACCTACTGTATATAAGGACTTCCTGTCTGTAATCACCAACTGTATATAAGGGCTTCCTGTCTTTAATCACTACCTCCTATATAAGGACTTCCTGTCAGTAATCAGTAACTGAATATAAGGACTTCCTGTCAGTAATCAGTAACTGTATATAAGGACTTCCTGTCAGTAATCACCTACTGTATATAAGGACTTGCTGTCAGTAATCATCAACTGTACATAAAGATATCCTGTTTGTAATCACCACCTGTATATAAGGACTTCCTGTTTGTTGTCATCATCTGTATATAAGGACTTCCTGTCAGTAATCACCTACTGTATTTAAGGACTTCCTGTCAGTAATTACCACCAGTATATGTGGACTTCTTGTCTGTAATCACCACCTGTATATAAGGACTTCCAGTCTGTAATCACCACCAGTAAATGTGGACTTCCTGTCTGTAATCACCACCAGTATATGTGGACTCCCTGTCTGTAATCACCAGTATATGCGGACTTCCTGTCTGTAATCACCACCTGTATATAAGGATTTCCTGTCTGTAATCACAACCAGTAAATGTGGACTTCCTGTCGGTAATCACCACCAGTATATGTGGACTTCCTGTCTGTAATCACCACATGTATATGTGGACTTCCTGTCTGTAATCACCACATGTATATGTGGACTTCCTGCCAATACTGGCCACCATTTGGCTGAGTTTTATTTCTTTGTTAATATTTTGATAAAAACACTCAAACAAAATACATTCAAATATTTTCTTCTTTTATTTCTAGAGTTTTTCAAATACAACAATATAATATTTGAAATATTTGCCATCAACAAATACATGAAGGAATGTCCTTTCATTGTATATAACTTCCTTCCCACTACAAACCAAGTAACCCTACAACTTATGCAACACAAGGTGGCACATCACTGGTTCTACCTATCGGAGAAAATCTTGTGTGAGTCAAGATTTTATTAGTACCAGAATTTAAGTCGTTACAGGTCAATAAAATTACATGAATTATTCATCAAAGTTTTTAAAACCATTTCTAAAATCATATCTTTCATTTTTATCAATGAGAAAGGGAACTTAAAAATGGACCAAAATTACAAATTAGAAAACAGAACATGTGAAAAATTGCAACACTAGTGTTACAGGTAACATGTTGAACACCAATCATAAAATAACTAATTAATAAGGCTCTATCTTATGTATCAGTACATCAGCTTGAGACAAGGTTTGATTTTTTCCGGTTTATATTACTTGGAATATGCCTGTTTTGTTAATGTAATCAAAGGGAAAACTGAACAAACTTGAAATATTCTATATGCCTTTGGATATTCAGCATGTCAAATTGCTTCATTGCCACAAAACTTGTTTATTTATGACAGAAATATCCTCCAATAAATATTTGATCGAAAATGCATTTCATTTGATTAAACAAAATTCTCAATTTGTTTTACCTGAATACAATGTTTCATTACATAGTCTGTTGCTTATTCGTTAGATGATAAACAATTTTTTATACATCTTTTTGTAACTCATACCAATATTACTGGAGGTTTGTATTTCTGGTTTCTATTTTGTACCTATATATAACAGTAGGTTTGTATTTCTGGTTTCTATTTCGTACCTATGATACAGTAGGTTTGTATTTCTGGTTTCTATCTAACAATTAAATGCAGCAACAATACCTAGATTTTTTTTATTATTCTACTAAATCCACACTTTGTTTTATCTAGGTAACACATTTTCATTTATAAATTCAACATCACAATAATAAATTATTCATAAAAAAATTCAATTGAAATAGAAAATGCAATTCTGTGACAATCAATATTTCCTACATTAAGTAAACTTTAATAGTATCAAAAAACAGTATGTAACAGACATGGCAGTACCTAGCGGTTGATATAATATTGAAGACAAAATTCATCAACAATCACTTACATAATTAACCATTCACACGACCATGCTCGGCATGAATTCCCACAGGGAGAGAACCTGTGGGCTTATTTGTAGATAAACTCCAATGATATTCACACTACACTCTCATAACACTCAAATTCAAATAAGCTTTAAATCTATAGATTTAACTTTGGCACTTTTGGGTTTCTTTTTAAACTTGAGATCATCAAATAGTCCATATCAACACATGATCTCTTAAAATCATGTATCGTGTCTGTTCCTTGGTCTACCCCATTCAGCAGTCTCCTTAAATCCACTCCTTGGCCTGCCTCCTTAGTCCACTCCCTCATCCATTTCAAACTTGTCATTAAGTCATTGACAAGGTCACAGTTCCAAGGTCTGGAGATTCTTGTTTCGACAACAGCTTTTAGAGACAGACAAGTTACACTATGTCAGGGAATTTTGGTTTGACCAGTTACACTATGCAATCTTCCCGATTGAGTCGGCTCTCTATATCACTCTCCAGCTGTAATGAGTCCTGTCTGAAACTGTTCAATGATGTTCCAGTTTGTGATTGACCACTGGACTTAAAGAAATGAACTCCAGAGTATGTCTGATGCGAGGGAGATCGGGGGTTGGGGGTGAAGGAAGACGACGAGCTAGAGAAGCCAGCCTCACTTGGCTCAGGGGTCGCACTGATTGGGGAAAGTGTTCGCTTTTGAGCCAGTTTTGTAGAAGTGGCGTTTGAAGGTCGAGGATACTGCCCCGCTAAATGTCTGTGTAATGTATGACTATCATATGATAATCCTAGCTCTATTGGATTGGTCTGTTTATGGTTCCTACCCACTGGTACTATGGAAGAGTCTGTGGAAGAAAATCTAGCATCTTCACGAAAACTGGACATTGTTTGGCTATTTTGCCTTTCTCGTAACATTTGCTCATCTAGACTGAAATTTCTGTTGTAACCTGGCCGTGGAGGTACAGGTCTGTGTTGCCAGCTCTCTGGTATAGAAACACCATCTGATGTGGCTGTGGAAAATCGTGTGTCATTCAGAGTATCTCCATGTCCTGTAGGGTACCTTGGTAATGAGTAAAACTGTCTGGAATCTGCAATAGCGGTAAAAAGACATCATATTAATGAAAGTTTAATAGTTATGTATTGAAAGTCAGCAACTAGCAATAAACTTAGGTATGTTCCAGCAATTGTTTTCGGGGGAAGAAAGGATGCAAGTTAAAGATAGACTCTTAATAAAATCTTTTATTGCTTTTAAAGAAGTTGAATATACAACTTGAATAATGAACTTTTAAAGAATTTTCAAACTAAGTGATAAAGCATTAAAATGTTTGACAATAAGGCTGACCTTGACTCATCATTAGTTCTTGTTGACTCATTGAGCTGTCATGACGTGTACGGACACTGTCACCTCGGCCACTGTCATGTGACAAAGTGCCACCAGGTGTCTCTACAAATCCTTCATCTTCTTCTGTTCGCACAATGTTCTCTTTGGATTCATTCTGAAAATATATTGATTGAGGATTTATGCCATGGTGCATCTCTCATAAAACAGACACAGGTTGTCCATAACCAAACACAGCACAAATTTTGGCCCGTCTACAAATCAAATATGGCGTAAACATCGTCTAGTGAGGCACACGTAATAAAAGCATTATACTATTCCCAGTAATAAATGTTGCATTAAGGATACAAAAATAAATTTCATTCTGATGCGTATTACATTATGGTATTGAACGTATTCCGTTATTCTGAGAATTACACAATAAGGTAGACGACGCATCAGGTGACAGGAGCAGATTATGTCGTCTAAACAGTTAAACCATTACAAAATGACGTTTTCATTTTGAAATGATGTGTAAATGTAATGTAAACCCCTCTCTTTGTTATATATCTGTACACCGCTGCAATTAACTTGTGAGAAATAACTGCTACTAATTCTTTTAAAATCAAAAAATGACAAAACCAAGTACAGTAATGATTATACACTCTACCTTGGAGATAGTTATCGTGACCTAGATCTACTTTTACCGCCCTTTTCTCAAGTTGGCATTTTACATCAAAAACAGTAATGACAAAGGATTCACGTCACACAAAAATCCATATAGGAAATTCAAATTTTTAAATCAATTCTTATAAATAAAAAAAAACAAAACAAAACAAAAAAAAAAATTTGATTGTCACAATTTTTAAATCTGGTGTATTTTCACTGTCCTCATACCATTTGTTGTAATACCACAAGCAGAGAAGATATTAAAATGCTATAAAACACAATTTAACAAGGAAGGCAGTGACCTGTAGCTATACAACCTGAAAGGCTCAGTTGTCAAGTTGTGTACGTTTCAAGAGTAGCAGATTATGGAAAGAAATTGTCCTGGGTTAAAAAAAAAATCCCCCTCATGGTTTTTTTTTCAGGATTAGAACTCCCAGCAAACCAAATATATGCAGCTGGGTATAGAATAGATCAATATAAATGTAAAAATATATCAATTTTATCTTTTTTTTATTTTGAATTATTTTTTACGGGCCTTCAAAAGTGAAATTCTTTTGGCCCAAGTCAATTTAATTTGGGCAAATGAAGAGCTCATAATACAAAAAAACCTCTATATATCCAATATCCCACAGACATGGGTGAGAGACAGAAGACTGCCCCCAGTCGTCAAACGTCTACCTAATCCCCCAAACAACCAGGCCACAATTAGCCATCTCTGTCCAGATTTATAAGGTACACATTGGCTCTGTTTACAAATAATATTAAAGTCCTTTACATCCGGTAATAAATTGTAGAGTACTTGTTTGAAGGTCTTGTACTCCTCAGCTATTGTCAAATTCAATACCACCAATTATAGAAAGCCGTTTAAAAACAAAACTCAGCCATTTTAAAATCGAAATCCATACAGTGTTATCCAGTGCAATTCATGTGAGGTACCAGCAGGTTTCTCCAGTTCTAATACTTTGGTTAAACCTGACTGGTAGGTATTTCACTGAGACAGGTATTAAATTGACACATTTTATATAAATTGGGGCAACAGATAAGAATTATTTTCCCAAATGTGCCCTTCTGAGATTAACACTTGTCATCATTCATTTCACCTGTTACAAGAACAAAGCTTACCTGTCAAAAGGTTTACCTGTGTCAAGTTTAGCAAGAAAGAAAAAAAGAAAATCTCATGTTCAAACATTTGGTTTGGTGTTTAAAAAATATTTTTATCTCTGTGTTCAGCTTAACTGTCTCAAGGGGTTGCAAAATAACCGTTTTCAGGACCCCATGGGTCGGTCAACAAAACACTGACAGACCAAATCCATTTACATTAGTGCCCATTGGTCAGTCAAAATGCTGCCCTTGGTCAGTTTAAATCTTAAAACAACAATCTCTGTGAACTAAATCCTGGGTTCCATTATTCCATTCTATCAAGTTAAAAACCTACAATACAACAAGCGTTTTTTGGTCATTAATTACATCAAGTCCTAACAAGTTATGTTGTTAAAAATCTTCCTCAGTACAAAGGAAATGATCACTTTCTAAGGATCTTTTTATTTCACATTATTTTGTTCTATTTTTGTTCCTTTGGGGTTTTTTTTTGGAAGGAGGGGGCTCTTAGCAAGAGAAAAAATATGATTCTTCTGTTTCTTAAGTCTTGTGATAAATATTTTCTTGCGTATATTTGTGCTTCGGTAGTTTTGTGGAAATAATTCTATATGTTGTTTCTGTATACACACTTTATACAGGATGTTTAAACAACATCTGTTTCTTGTAAAATTATTTCAAAGAATAAGAATGTAAGTTTTCAATCTGACTAGTGTTAAAACCGAATTTATCTCTGAAAACCCTCAGTTTCATTTGGACAGACACAATTATGCTACACTGGTCAGCAACTTCCACACTTCGCTGGTCAGCAACTTTCACACTCTACTGTTTACAACTTTCACACTACACTGGTCAGCAACTTTCACACTTTCACACTACACTAGTCAGCAACTTTCACACTTTCACACTACACTGGTCAGCAACTTTCACACTACACCGGTCTGCAACTTCCACACTTCACTGGTCAGCAACTTTCATACTTCACTGGTCAGCAACTTTCACACTTCACTAGTCAGCAACTTTCATACTTCACTGGTCAGAAACTATCACACTACACTGTTCAGCAACTTCCACACTCCGCTGGGCAGCAACTTCTACACTACACTGGTCAGCAACTTTCACATTTCAGTGGTCATCAACCTTCACACTACACTGGTCAGCAACTTTCACACTACACCGGTCAGCAACTTCCACACTTCACTGGTCAGCAACTTTCACACTACACTGGTCAGCAACTTTCACACTTTCACACTACACTAGTCAGCAACTTTCACACTTTCACACTACACTGGTCAGCAACTTTCACACTACACCGGTCAGCAACTTCCACACTTCACTGGTCAGCAACTTTCATACTTCACTGGTCAGCAACTTTCACACTTCACTAGTCAGCAACTTTCATACTTCACTGGTCAGAAACTATCACACTACACTGTTCAGCAACTTCCACACTCCGCTGGGCAGCAACTTCTACACTACACTGGTCAGCAACTTTCACATTTCAGTGGTCATCAACCTTCACACTACACTGGTCAGCAACTTTCACACTACACCGGTCAGCAACTTCCACACTTCACTGGTCAGCAACTTTCACACTACACTGGTCAGCAACTTTCACACTTCACTGGTCAGCAATCTTCACACTTCACTGGTCAGCAATCTTCACACTACAAAGTTCCTATGATGATACCAGATAACAAAAGTGACAAGATAACACAACTTCAGAGTCACAAACTTAACCCTGATATTGTCTGATAACTTCCTGGAGCTGTAATTATAGGTATCAAATGATGGACAAGATTCCAAACACAGATCACATCTCACTGATTCACTGGTACATTCCTTCCTGTCACATTCTATATCATATTCTCAAAAGTTACTAGTTGTTGGGTCTGGAAGGAAAACTATTGTAATCTGTTTGTCATTCTTGTAACTGATATTGACTAAAGAACCTACAAACTCTGACACTCCTACACAGTATCTAGTCATTCTGACAAAAAGTAAAAAAACGAGTGTATGACAATTTAAAACCATAGCCTAGCAGTATCCAAATAACAATACAAAAAATAGATACTTCATAAAATATTTGTATAAAGATCAGTTAGTCGAATTTTTAAAACCAAGATGAATAAAATCATGAAAAAAAAAATCAACATTGATTCTTACTAGAATGATTTAAAGATAATTTTATGCAGGAGACAGCAATACTATTTGGGGTTGTCAACAAACCAACTATTATGCTATACATGTACCTGTTTATTCTCCAGATTTTTTTAGAAATAATTTTATGTTTTGTAACAAAAACCAGTTGCTATTAGGAAATATACCATACCTGTTGGCAATAAACCTGATAGTACAGCTAATACCAGACTCGTTGGATTCTCATGGACTCAAATCTACACGTAATGTTTGTATTGTTGAAATGGTTGTCAAATGTTTAGAAAAGAGAAAAATCAAGAGGATTCCTTCTATAGTAAATACCAAAAATGATAAATCATTTTCCTTACTAAACCACCAAAAAAAAAAAAAATTATAAATACAAACAAAATTGCCTATTAGCTAAACTTTAAAGGTAAAAGCCATTAGTAGGTGTTGATAAAAGCGAAGGCATGAATCACCCAGAAACGAGTTCAGGATGGGTTTTATATTCATTATCACTATATTTGAAGAATTTCACTCAGTTCCTGTCATTTAGAAGTGATGAATAAGTTTGTGATTGGAAACACATTTGATTGTGTCTCCCTTGGAGTAGGAAGAGGATCACTGATAATTATATCTTTATCTATCCCTAAATCTAAGGGTGATGCATGCTTGAGTGACTTTGTAACATGTATATCTGCTGATAGGTCATGCTTGAGTGAGTTGTGACATCTATATCTGTATGTCTGTGTATCTTTTTCAGAGTTCTGTGTAAGTTACCAGTAAAGTTTGCTGCCTCTGATTAAATGGCTATCCAAATGGCTAAGTCTTAAGCACACTGAAAACACTATTCAATGTTTTAGATAAGACAACAGCAAAAAAACATTTAATATTAAATACTGTCAGTGTCCATCATTAGTTTCTCTTTAAAGTAAAAATTCATCTTTAAAAGTATAACACTGCATCGACAACAGATACCATAGCAATATTAACCATGGGAAATTAGGGTGGTCTGTTTGTGCAGTGCACTTGCCTTTCACCTAGCTGTCCGAGGTTTGATTCCCGAAATGGACATGAAAAAGTTAAAGGTTCACCTGCCCAACCACGTGGGTTTTTCACTGGTAATCAAGATTCGTCCCACAATAAAATTCTTTGATAAATTAAGTCAATATTAAAGTTTATATTAAATTTGTATATGGCAGGCATGATGACTTTTGACATAAACTAAATAACGGTTTGAGAAATATGAATGGTTATTTTACGATTTGATAAATTGAGTAAGGAAGGTAGTCATAATTTGAGATTTGATATTTTGTTGCATTTGTTATATTTCATCATTACTAATCACCAATAAACAGAGGGTTGTTTATCAACATTTAGAATATAAACTTAATTATACAATGTAACTTAACTGAAACACGTTATCTTCGGAGCTATAATCACGTAATTAACTTTTATCTACTTAGGCTGCTTGAAAATAAAAATATCATAAAAATGTTAAAAAGGATCATTTGAGTTAAGGTAGAGATTCTTGGGTCCATGGAAACAGTGTTAGCTCAAGGGAGCTCTAGTGCTTCACTCCATACTAAATACAGGTGGTCGATCTAAGGAGTCGAGAGGAAGTAGACATAGCCCATGAGAACAGCTGATAATCATTGTGTTTGTATAAAACTTATCTTTTATGACCTTGGTCTTTATACTTTACCTTACAGTCTTGGCTTCCTTCCGATGCTGTGCTATCATTGGAGCATATTGGTTTCAGATCCGTGGGGCGGTTGAGTTGAACATCAGGCCTATCGTTGCCAATTTTGTGGACATCTCGTGTGGAGGTCGATAGACAATGAAGCCAGTCCAACACAAACTTTTTCTTATGGTCAGTCATTTTACTGTCCCCTTTGTCAAAATTTTTGCTGTCTTGGCGTCGAATAAGACAGATCATAATGATCATGCCCAGAGACAAAGTCACAGTGACAGATATTACAGCTATGACAATGATGACATTCTTATTGGCATCAGGGTTGCTGACGATGATTACAAGGTTGGACCAGGTTGTCTGACTAGGGGTGCCGGAATCCTGGATTGCCAGTAGTACAGTATATGTTCCTATGTGGTTCTCTGTGATATCCTGTCGAAGACTGACCACACCTGTCCTGTTATCAACATGAAACAGACCACTGGCACCCTTCATTACCAAATAGGAAAGTTCCGAATTGACCCCCTCGTCTGGGTCAGTCGCCATCACCTTAGCAACTGGTGTACCCTTGGCCTTTCCAGGTAGTATGGTGACAGTGTTGTTGACATCAGTCGGGAAAGTTACGTTAGGTACATTGTCATTGACATCTTGTACAACAATTACTACATTGGTGGTCACCTGTAGAGCAGGCTGACCACTGTCCTCAGCAGTCACATGGAAATCATACACACCTTGAGTCTCACGGTCAAGAACAACTTTTGTTTGGATCTGACCAGTGCTCTGAATGATCTCAAAGATACTGGTGTATGGATGAGTCGGAGGAAAGTGAATCTTACCATTGGCACCAATGTCTCTATCGTAGGCATATAATCGACCAATCACAGTACCCGGAGCTTGATTCTCCTGTACTGTAAACGAGTACATTTCCTTTGAAAATGATGGTGCATTGTCGTTGATATCACGAACTGTCACCAGAACAGTAGCTGTAGCACTGTACTTAGTTACAGTATTACTGTCCGTGGCTACCACTAGAAACTCCAGCTGAGAGTTAGTTTCTCTATCAAACACAACATTAGCACTGATCACTCCAGAATCTGAATTTATGGAAAATAAATCATCTTCGTTTCCATATAGACTATAGGTGACTCTGCCATTCTCTCTTTCATCTTTGTCCTCAGCTGTTACTATGGTGACAGGTGCCCCTATTTGGTTATCTTCATACAATGATACATTATATTGAGTGTGCGTGAAAATCGGAGGGTTGTCGTTGACATCACCGACATGGATTAGGAAACTAGTGATGGTGACAAGGTTGGGTGAACCTCCATCAGCACAGACCACACTGATGTTGTGAGTGGCCAGAGTCTCTCGGTCCAGCCTTTGTTTCAGGGTCACTTTGTACATGTTGACATAAAGTGTCTCCATTTTGAAGTAATCATTATGTAATTGACATGTCACGTTTCCATATGCTCCACTGTCAGGGTCTGACACAGCCACATTGGCAATGTAACGATCTGCTTCTGCAGCTTCAGAAATAACCTCTCCACCAGGGGGCAGGTTGATGTTTACCTGTGGTGCATTATCATTGATGTCTGTCACTGTGATGACTACCAATGCGGAGGAGGTACGTGGCTGAGCTCCGCCATCGACAGCTTGGACGAAAAAAGAAAAGCTCTGATCTGCCTCATAGTCGATCTCTCCCGTTACATATATCTCACCAGAAGTACCATTAATACCAAACACGCTAGGTTTGGAGCTGGGATTGAAGCGATAGGACACGGTACCCTCGACACCCGAGTCCAAATCCCTGGCTGTTACCTGGGTAACAATGTCACCCAGGCCTCGGTTCTCAACTGTTACAGCTGTATACTCCGGCTTGGTGAATTCAGGTGAATTGTCATTCTCGTCCAGCACATTAACATGAATTGTCACACTGCCACTCCTCTGAGGAGAACCTCCATCTTTAGCTACGATCACTAACTGGTAATGTTTATCTGATTCGTAATTCAACTGTTTATTCACCTCTATCTCCAAAGTGGGATTATTATTTAGGTCTGTCGGAAATTTTAAACGAAACACATCCTGGTCTGTGACAAATTCGTATGTGTGTATCGAGTTATTGGTTCCACTATCCTGGTCCGTAGCTTCATCAATTGGTATAACATACCCGATGCTGACAGTTTCAGAGATGGAGACCACCACCTCAGAAGGAGTGAAGACTGGTGGATGATCATTGATATCTTGAATAATTACATCAACAAGGAGCAATTTGATGAGGTCTGGATTATTTGGGAAGTCAGGGTCAGCCTTAAAGATTGCAACGGACATCCGAAGGTCACAGATTTCTATACTCTGACAGACTGTCTCACGGTCAATCTTGGTTGCCTCCAAACGACCACTCTGTTCATTGAGAGAGAAGAGTTTGGCGTATACATTACCCTCAGTGAGGAGTTGATACCGTAACTTACTGAACACAGTATCTGTCACGTTGATCCTGGGACGAACATCTGACGCAATGTTAGCCACAAAGGTGCCATTTGGTTTTTCCTCTAGGAGATTGTATTTGAAATCAGCTTCCTGACCAGAGGCCATAACCAGGGCAGCGCTCATAAGTACAATGTAGAGGATCATCCTGGCTCTGGTCATTGCTGACTGGTCAGGCTGGGCGACATCACAATTCAGATCATCCAATCACGTAAGCTGGAAAAGATGAAAAAAAGTTACTTTCTTCACACGTTTACTCTATGCTACAAGTACATAACATATCTTTCTTAAGTAACACCGTTTGCTGACAGAACTACATTTAATATGGGCAGTATGTTTCAAAGTTCATATGATCATGTCAATCAAAATTGTGCAGGCCGTAATATTGGCAATGGAATAATGACATAATGACAATTTTGAGGGAAAAATTCCACCATTCGGTGCAATATTGCAGTGAAACGTTCCAGTCTCTATACCTCATTACACAATACATATCTCGATGTTTATCATGTCAACTCATTTTATAAGGGCGTTTTGACACAAATGTTATCAATTGTTTCCGGATCAACAGGACAATGATAAACATAACAACTACAGGAAGTAGCAGTACAAAAAAATATAATACACCGACGGCTGTGGATTCATTGTTTACAACTGATTAGGATACATATTTCTAAATGTGTGCGTAACGGCAATTCAGGAAGAGAAGTGATTCGTATAGCAAGAAGGATGTGAATAATTCTTATAGTTACATTGACACAAAAATAAAATTAGAAAAACTGTCAAGCACAGCCAAGCCTAATAAAATTTGAGTTTTATAAACGTAGCTTATCAGTCAGTGCACCAACATTGTAAAGTCTTTAACTTTCACAAAATCAATGAAATAAAAAGAGATTCTGTCTGATTTATGACATCAATATATCAATGTCTTTTCAAGGGCAAACATTGGGGAAAAGCCCTGCTTATCGGTAGCCTCGGACTTGTGAACAGCAAGGATTATATTACACTGCTCCTGTAGACATAGCAGGAAATCATCAACATCTGTGTGTCATATACAATAAATGGATTAAAACTTACTTATTCCCAACAGAAAGTGTAGCCAATTGGATTGAATTTGTCTAGTTATAAGTTTATAGAACCAGTAAAAATATTTTGACCGATCATAGCTCTTGTCAGCTATGGTAAGGTAATGCAGCCATTTACAGTCCATCAAAAGATCCCCAATGTTCCCTCTTGATCTGTATCAGAGGTGCCTGTTACACAAACACTAATAAGAAACATCCTACAATAATGTCTACCAGATACATTATTGTTAACTGTTTTGATTTCCCAAGTTGGAGGTTATATGTACAAAAACTGGCTGCAGAAATATTAGGTAAAGATTTGAGATGCATCTAGTTCGAAGCTCCCTATCTGTGGTGGTTTGTGTTTTACAGGAAGATTAGAAACAGAACGGTGTGTGCTGTCATGGTTGTGTCCTTGAGGCAAGATACTTAGTACCCCAATTTCTATGGATGACACTTGATGAGCCCTCCATATATATTATATTCAACAGCTTTTACAAGGACACCCTGCCTCAAAATGACCTTGGATATTCAGGAGGTGATAAACCACGAAAACACACAAACAAGAATGATAAAAACTTCAATAGAATATACTCTTTCTGGAAAACTGATTGGATGCTTTAATGAATAAACAATTCAGAGTTATTGATAATTTAAATAGGAAAAAAGAAGTCAAATATAGTGTCTCCCTCCTACAGCAAGACAGTTAGCAAGAGTCACATGTTATTTTCTGTAACTCTCCTCTCCATCATACACTAGGCAAACTACATAGTGGTGTTTTACCCATCTTGGTAAGAACTAGAATGAGATAATTAAGTCTCTTTGCCATTACAAGATCTATATACATTTGTATAAATTAAACTGTAAAGCTGGAATATGAAGAGCTACGTGTAGTGACACTAAAAGTACAAGTAACATCTTCATCGATCAGGCAATTATTTTTAACAAAACAATCAGTCAGCATTTTTATAAACCTTAGACATTTTCTTAATACTCATTAACAAGCAAATTTAATCAATCGACAATCTGATATAATACTGTCGTGATGTCATACAGATGTTGTACAGGTAGGACTTGCCTAACAAAGTGAACCAATTTGATCATCTGTTTACACATAATGCTGGTCGGCTAACGATGTTTACAGTAACAGATATATGTATGGCCATACAAAAAACTGAATTGATCATCTTGGTCCCGTGAATTTCTTTTCAGACAGTCTGAACAGTTAGATGTTGGTATAACATATGATTACACAATACTACACCTGTGTAACCCAGAACAAACTGTTTTCAGTTTGCCTGTAGGTAGGAATCAGTAAAAATTTCCCACAGAATACACCTTTATATTTTCTTCCATGTTCTTATTTCCTTACAAGCAACACTGATCAATTTTGTCCTATTTTTGGTTCTCAACCATTGTTCAGAAAAATCATTAAAAATATAAATTGTAACATGCAAGCAAGTTTTAAAAGCAAATGAAGCTATCTTTTCATAAATGAAGAAAACCTATATCAGTATACCGGCCATCAATATTTACTCATTTTAAGCAGGATGACTAATGTAGTCTATAAAACTGGCCTGTTTTTTTAATTCTGAAATACAAGTACCACTTTGTATGTCCTGGTGACACATTATTGCTTAGTCTGTCAAAATTACATAACAATGTATCTGCCTTGCTCTATCGTCTATATTTTTTCTATTTAATAGCCCCCACCCACCCACCTCCCAAATGTAAACAAAATATGAATTAATAGTGAGTTATTGCATGGGACAATCATCTAACGTTGACAATAACATGCCATTCAAATGTCAGAAATACAGAACAAAATTAAACCCATGCCAACAGACAATTAAAAAGCAAAACTTTCCAGCATTATGACATAATCATCCCATCTACCATTTATAAATGTTTGCACCTCTAAAGCTGTCATAAAAAACCAAATTAAGGCATTAGTTTGCTAAAACCAAAATTTAAGATATCTTTTTGATATTCAACAAAAATAGAAAAAAATATATGTAAAATCGATTTAATACTAACTTAGCCTCGTCAAATTTTACAAGAGGTTGATACAACTGAACATGTCCTTTAGATTAAAAATGTTACCTGAACTTGTTTCCATTAATATCCTTCAAAAAAAGGAGTCTGTCCTTGTAAGACCAGATTACCACGGTCTATATATACCTAATAGGGACATGTTGTGTCCAGTCCTGGCCATATATTGGTCCATTGACCAGTGTCCTCAGTGGACTGAAAAAAGTGTTTGAGTTTCGGACTAGCCCTGACTCAACTTGGAACACTCCTCCGTTATTCCCTGTTACAACGTCCTTGTAAATGTGTGTTATGTAAATTTCTAGTCCTGTGTGTCTTTTCTTTACTTTCTCTCACTATTCAAATACTTTGAGGATCTCGACTGAGTCATGTCTAACTACATAGTGCCTACTTTACAATTTGGGATACGCACCTGAGTACTTCAAAGCTGTTTAATAAATCTGAATTTTATTTCATTAATCTAACATTTATCGTGTAAATCAAATACATTCAATATTTTATATAGGATTGCAAATGTACAGATAGAAGGTGTGAAATATTCAAATGTTTATTGTAAAAATTATGACTAATATTATCTTTTAAAAAAGAGAGTGAAACATTTTGCATTTAAAAGTTACATTTGAAGACAATTTTTTTTTTATAGAATAATTGTATTATGATAAATCTATGTATTGAGCATTATACCCTTGATGGAAATCCTAAAGTTAACAATATTTCTGTGTACAAGTCGAATCTGTACTAACACACTGTATATTCCTCCAAGTCATATTTCCATACTTACTTTCTACCTGTATCTGTTTCAATCACAAGATTTAGATCCCAACAATTGACAAAAACACAACTAATGATAGGCTCTCTTCAGTGAAATCATTCAATCTGTTGTCAATCTCAGAGTACAACATGTTGTAATAATTCTATCAAACTCCTTTGGAGGAGCTGTGTGTATTACTCAGGACACTCTCCTCGATCATGTTTGTTTCCATTTTAAAACTCCAGTGAAGCTGATTACAAAACTGTTGAATGCCCAAATGAGGTGTTGACACAGGGTTTTAGGGGGTTACTAACAGTGTTTAGCCTGACCTCTTCAGCCAGGGAGGATATTGACATAGCAGATTATCTCTGAATGCCGCCTGTGTCATCTTTAAGTCAAATCCATCATTCAGTGGCCAACAGATTTATGTTAAGTCCATTTGTAAAGACAACAATGCCTCAGGTATCCAGTACACTTGTAAATAATAAGTCAATACCAATAGGTTCCAGATCAGCCCCGAACGTCCTTAATGCCAGTTATCTCCCTTAGTGTCATAAGGTACCAATACTGTGTATCATATGCCTAATTATATATCTAAATATTTGAAAACAAAGAGACTTCGAAAATAAGCCTATCCTGAAAATAAGCTTGTAGTTTCTTACATACAAAAATCTGCATTTGCTTACCATCATAGAAAATAAGCAGCATCTTATTTCAATTTTTTTAGTGTACTCTTTAACTTATTTTTCTAATTTTAAAGAAACAATATGCAATGTATATAAAAATTGCCTCCAAAATAAAAGTTGATACACCAGACATTCAGCAGACCTTTTTACTGATCATAGAAATTGATAAAAATTAATTGTTTGGTCTCAATGAATACAATTTTTTATTTATCACAGACTGTAAAAAGCTGAAAAGGCTAGGCTCATAAGATTTCCATCAAATTATGTTTTTCAATTCAACAATGATCCAATAATGATTAATTTTATTGAATAAAGATTTGAAAAGACCATGAAATGTGTGTGTAGAAGAAAAGATGTCGGAGACCTCAGTAAAGTAAAAACCTAATGGAATCATTATGTAAATCTAATTAAGAAGGATAATAAGAAATTCATGAGTCACTATATTCCATTACCATAACTATTGAATCGTGGAAGATATCAGCCTTAAATCCCAGAATTGTGATAACCCGACATAAAAACCCACCATTATACATCCCCAGTGTTAGCGCAGGTGATTGTTTTTCAGGTATCTATCTCTCCTTATAAACAGGTT